CAAAATAATTTTATACCCACCACCTAAATTCTACCCTTCACACTTTACTCCCTTTATCACAAATTTATCTATCCCTCTGTCTCTTTTTTTATAACCTCTCCTGACTAGCCCCTCTTTTTTGCTGAAAAAGGCACTCAGGAAGCCCGGGGCAGCTGGCACACAAGACCCAGGGTCTCCAGATCCTTTCATATTTGTTAGGCTGGATTTGCTCTAAAATGCCCCATTCTCCAGGCCCAGCTGCTGCTAAAAACAAGGCTCTCTCCTGCCACCTAGTGGATTTTTTTTTAATTAAAGAATTGCATGCAGGACAAGCTGGATAGAGGAGGCCCTGCAGGTGGAGGGCTCCTCAGGCTGGGAGGTCTCTGAGCTCTGACTCCACACCACCCTCGCCCCTTCTCCGCTGATCCCCATCCCAGTTTTCATGGAGACCTGGGCATTTCCTAACTCTGGCCCCAATTCCCAACTGCGCAATCACTTTGTAGGGTTATACTATACTTCTCAAAAAGTCTTTTCTGGAAGGGGGCAGAACATGAGGGCACCGGGAATTTTTCCAGTTTTGCTAGCATTTTTGATGACCATCAAGAACAATTTTGGGGCAGTGGGCGTGGCCTGTTCAGCTGCTTTTGAAAGATAAGAGTCTGGAGGCTTCAGCTGACTGGACCTCGGGGCCTGGGGCCCGGGGCCTGGGTCTGGGGCCTCAGGACAGCCTCCTCGGGTGGCAGCAGCTGTGGTCACAGCCGCCTTGCTGGGCCCCATGGTACCTGGTGTCAGGCCTTGACACACACACCGTGGCCACAGTCTCTCCTAAATAGTGGGGCGAGAGGGACAGGAAGGGTGCTTCCCAAAGGGCAGCAGCACTGCTCAGCTGTCCCATGGCCTCCTCCTCTGAGGGAGGCCCCTCACCCGGTTGACCCAGGCGTGGTCATATGAATGACCTCTGGCATGAGCCTCTGGGTCCGGAGAAGGAACATGACAAGCATGTCTTAGTTTGGGTTTCCCCAGAAGCAGAGTCTGGGCCAGGGTTTGAATGCTAGTCATTTATTTGGGACTTGATCCCAGAAACCCTGGTACCGAGTGGGACGTGAACCAGGGGAGGGAAAGAATCTGATAAAAGATTGTCATCAAACCATTAACCTGGTGGCTTCGGAGCTCAGTCGTGCTGGGGAGCACCTATCCCAGCTGAGGGCAAGGACGCTGGGGCGAGGGCTGCTTCTGGGGACATTAAAGGCCGCACTTCCAGTGCCCCAGGCCACAATGAGCCGCTTCTGGAGAGCAGAAGTGGGTGCCAAGGGGATGGGGTGGGGCACTGCCAGTCCTCTTAGTGTGTTCATGTGATGGGGGTTGGCACCCAACCCTACCCCGCCCACCTCATCCCCCGCGGACGGGGGTCCAAGGACCATGAGGAGATTCAACTGAGCAGAAGGCGCTATCTGGGTTAGGACGGGTCCCGGCACGATGGGACCCTAGCTGTGTTCTCCACACAAGTGAGACTCTGTAAGGTGGGAGACAGCAAAGATCTCAAGAGTGGAGGGGAGTGTGTGGGCAGCCCCCGGCGAGGAAGGAGAGGAAGCCAGCTGAGGGGCAGCCTGATCTGGAAGCTTCCTCTGGGCCCGCCTGAGGCCTCTCCTGCGGCACCGTCCACAGCCCACCACTGCACGCCACTTGAATCTCCACCAAATGAAGGACCCAGCTACTGAAAACTAGAGTGGGACCATGTCATTTCTCCAGAATACCAAGTATTTAGCTGATAAAAATTTATACCAAGGAACAGAAGTTCTGATGAGCTAAAGCTCATCTTGTGGAGAATGTTGAAAAACATAAATCTTCCCCCCAAATCTCTGGTCTGTCTTCCTGAAGTGTTACCTAGAGAAAAGTATTTCACAAATTGCAAAGGATGTAACCTGCAGAGACCTGGTGGTCACCCTACTTGGAGGCCAGGATCCCCAGGGACACGCCCGGGGACTTGCCCTCAGGTGCATGTGCTCCGCCTTCCAGCCACAGTGGGATGGGCACTGATGCCCCTGGTTTTCAGCTCTCATTTGATACCACACAGGGAACCAAACATTAACAAGGCCTTAGAGGCCCCTGTGAGCAAACTCAATATGAAAGCCTCACGCAAGCTGTGAAGTGATACGGCCCTGTGCAACCATCACCATCTCCTCAGCATGAACTCTGGGAGGTGGAAGTCCCCGTAAGAAGGTTTGAGAGCTTTGTCCCTATTAACTATGCTGTGGGTTGTAAGTGCTTGGTGGAGGAACTCGGTTGATCAGAAGTGAAATGCTGGCAGGCGAAGCTGATGGTCCTCTCTTAGAGTTGAAGTGGGATGTGTTGACTGCTCCTGAGAGAGGTCTTTTGGTGGGTTGGTTTTGGGGAGCCACCAAGATGTGAAATTGTAGCGTGGGGAGTCTTACCTTGTCCTTCACACCTTCTGGAAACCCGGTGTCAGACGGGGTTAGCAGGCTCTGAAAGATGTGGTGAGGACAGAGACATGGCCAGGGGAGAACACCCCGTATAAGCCCAGGAGTAGCTGCCAGGCTGGCTGTCCCGTTCCTCTGAGGGGCATTTTTGGCGAATTCTCATGTAGCATTACTCATTTCCTCGGAGTGGCTCTAGCCGCCAGAACGACAAGGTGTCAAACACCACGGCCCTCAGAGGGCTTTCACAGTCATTACCTTGTCTGATCCTTAGAAATAAGGAAGGCGGGGTAAGAACCACAGGTTACCAATGAGCAGTCTGACGCCACGTCCCGGGATTTTCTGGCAGGGGGGAGGGTACACCCGACGGGTGGCGGTAGGAAGTAGAACTTGTACTAAAGTATGAATCCAGCTCTCAGTGTGGCCACTTCCTGTCTGATGTGTGACTCCTGTGTTCACCCAGAGAAACGGCAGTCACAAGTTCTGACCTTATGGGACCCTGTCATCTCTGGAGAACCACAACATACAAGTAGACTGAACTACCTCGAGATGATAATAAACAAGATGTTTACTCTTCAGATGAACAGACGTTCAGATAAACATTCAGATGAAGTGTTTTTGGCAAGAGCATGTCCCTTGCCATCACCCCAGAGAATGGAGATCACTTTACTGACAAGGATTTACTGACAAGGATTAACACACAAGTTGAGGATGGGGTTGAGGACCATGCTACAAGGCGGCCTGGAGGACAGACCTTCTTTCAGGTGCCATTTAACATGGTGCTTCCATATTCTTTCACCTTCATTATAATTTCAGTCTAGCAACTTCCAAATACTGCTGCCAAGTGCTTTAATTTATCTTAGAGTGTTGATAATAAAGGATCAAAGAACCAAAGAGAAAGGATGTACTCCCCAAATGTTATGGCCTAAAAAGTGATGCTGTTAAAAGGTGTAATAAGAATTCCCTGTCTACTCAGACAAGGGAAACAAAAGAAAAAACAAACAAGTGGGACTTCATCAGACTAAAGAGCTTCTGCAAGGCAAAGGAAACCAGGATCAAAATGAAAAGACAACCCACCAGCTGGGAGAAGATATTTGCAAACCATATATCCGACAAGGGGTTAACCTCCGCAATATATAAAGAACTCACACAACTGAACAACAAAAAAACAAAACACCCGATCAAAAAATGGGCAGAGGATATGCACATTTTTCCAAGGAAGATATACAGATGGCCAATAGGTACATGAAAAGATGTTCAACATCACTAATCATCAGGGAAATGCAAAACAAAACTACACTAAGATATCACCTTACACCCATTAGAATGGCTATAATCACCAAGACAAAAAATAACATGTTGGAGAGGCTGTGGAGAAAAGGGAACCCTCGTTTACTTCTGGTGGAAATGCAAACTGGTGCAGCCTCGATGAAAAACAGTAGGGAGATTCCCCAAAAAATTAAAAATAGAAATACCTTATGATCCAGCTATCCCACTTCTGGGTATTTATCTAAAGAACTTGAAATCAACAGTCCAAAGAGGCTTATGCACCCCTATGTTCA